GCACGTTGAAAGAGGACATTTCCATTTTTATGGACTGGTGTGGGAGTAGCCCTCCTGTTCCCTGCTGTGTCTACATGGGATAATTGAGCGAGCCCATGCCCAAGGGCTCCAACCGACAAAAGACTCAACCAACACCATCAGTTTCTCACTCTGTGTGTGCCCACCTCTTCTCTGTTCCATAGACATGCTCAGAGGCAATTAGTGTGGGTAAACAAGGGCTGCGTGACCTCAGGCTATTGACACATTGTGATTCTAATGAGCTGTACATGAAGAGAGTTATCCATATATGCTATCACTAATAAGAGTGTTTGTAAATAGTCCAGGTCCAATTCAGTGATAGTAATTTTTTTAAATAAGAAAACTCCACTGTGCTGGGAAATACAGTCATTTGAAAGTAAACATAGAGAAATTCAACCAATGTTCCGCCCTGTCATTGCTGCTTGGCTCTTTTCTTCTTTTGATCCCAGTTCCGAAATTAACATGTCTTCTTTACCCATTTCTTACCCCATTTTAAACACACATAATTCACATAAGCAGACTATAATTACTCAGATTGTGATTCTATTGAATTAGTTAGATGCCTGAGGGCTCTCCTTTGCTCCTGTGTGATTTTTTTTCCCCCTCTTCGCCACACACACTGTGTTCACGTGCAGATGTGCTTTAGAGCTCAGTAATCACCGGCTTGGGGCTTCTCACCGCTCGTCCCAAGTCTTAAACAGCATGTAAGCACTTACTCATTTGCCTTATAATATCATGGTAGGGAACTTTAAAAGAGGCTGCAGTTTATACAGAGACAAGCTAAAGTTGCCGTCTACCATGACAGTTGTGCTGCTAAAGAAACAGTGCTTGTGCTTGTGCTGACTTTATCCAAGGAAATGAAGACGTTTTTCTCATGTACGAAATAGCGACTTTGCTGACTGAAGGTGACTTTGTTGAACCTGTAATCTGACTGTGACGTAATGAGAAATGTGTGAATGTGGGGTGAAAACTAAAGTGGTGTTTAGCAGAGAGTGCTCATCCCTTTAATCTAGTAAGGTCTTACAAGTGTTAATGTAGAGAGATAAGTAGAGGTCTTCTCTATCAACTTTACAGGTGGCCTTTCTGTGGTCTTTGAAGATTGTGCCTGAAAAAGAATCAGCTTATCTATCATTTCATCTGTAAATCTATAGATGAGTACAAGAGTAGTGTGCTTTTCTCAAATGGTACTGGCATTTTGAGTAATGTTATGTTTCCCTCAACACAATAAAGATGTCAGAGTGGTCAAGTCAACAAATGCTGAGGTAGTGCAACTTTTAGTCTTTATTGTGCCTGAAGAACTAGAAGAACTGGGTCAAATAATGCAAGATCAATCATAGGTTAGATTTAGTTTTTCATAGCATGTTTTTCATGCTTTATCACTTTACTGAATAAGACACTATAGCACAAGTGCTTTGGGTGGCGAGTAAGATTTGAAAGCATTACGCTCTGATTTTATGACTGTATGTGTAATCCTAGATAACTAAGCTGTTGCCATTTTCACACATCCAGAAGGGTTCAAATCTGACACTAATCGATTGATGTTACATACAAGGCAGGAAGCTTATCTTTATCTAATCTGATTAGTCTAACTTGGCCTTATGACAGCTGCAAAGGTTACATTCTTGAAATAGTCACTCTTACAACTACATGAAAAAGTAAATAAAACATGCTTGATGCATATACCTAGAATTGTTTACGGATTAAAAGATGAGAAATGCTCATTTGAGTGAAAATTGGTAACCTGGAAAATGGACCAAAAAAAGACTTTGCTTCAGTGTTATTCTGCCCACTGCTCATACACTGGCCTGCTTGTAGATTCCAACTAATCTCATAAAGTTTGCATTTTGTGATGATGTCAAGAACACCAAGCAAAAATTTTGTAGGCGTTGGCAAAGCTTTACAAATATGAAACCACCGCGGATCAAAAATTCATAATAGAAAGGGAGAAAAAAATGGCCTGTGTTACAGTTGGAGGTGTCTTTTCTTATTGTGGTCTATGGGAAAATTCTTTTTCAGCTGCAGAAGAGTTTTGGGCAGAAAAAGACAACTGGGAAAATTTTGGCAACAAAACAGACTTTCAGTGTTATATCCAGCTTTTTAATATATCCATTATTACACCAATAGAGGTTTGTGGGGTGTCAGGGGAGGTAGACTCTCCCCAGTATTACGAACTTAGCCAAACATCCGTAATTTAGCAAAACAAAGTCCTTACTCGTCCAAAGCACCATCGAACATTCTTTTCAATAAAAACCCGAGAGCTAGCAGAAAAGCAGGTTGAGCAGAGGAAAATGGGAATTTGAGTGTGAGCAAATGAGCTTTGAGCATGATCCCACCATATTAAAGCACACTCAGCTTCAGTGTGTAAACACGCAGTAATCTTCTCTGACCTCTCACCTTGTCATTGCGCTTGAAAAGCCTATTTATGCTCTGCTTACTTAGTGCTCACGCCTTGCAACATACTCCTTTGTGTATGCGGTGTTGGCAGCTGTGTCCAACATTAAGAGTCCACTATAACGTCATACTTTGGTATTCACTAAAACACAAAACATGCTGACAAAAGAAAGTTCAATCTATACATTGAGATAAAAACACAAGCAGACACAGAACCATATTTTAACCATTGTTGCAGATGGAATTCGTTTCCTGTCATTATCATCACAGACTCTTCCATCTGCTATCTGCTGGAAAAGAAAGTGGAGAGCTGGCAGATTTGGTGACGCAGCTATAGAGAGAGAGAAACAGAGCACAAGCAGGGATGTGAGTTTTGCACTAATCAAGTTCAGATCTTTGTGTTTCTTTAATTTTAATGTAGGATTCTTATGGTTACAAAGTTACTTGTCATCTCATGGTGACTTTATATCATGAATTGGTTTACATTGCTTTGCATTGTAAGGTAAGGGCTTTACATTATTATAAAGAGACCTTTCATCTGTAACATTATGGCATTCTGAATGCTTCAGTGGGGGAAAATGTGAAATTATGTTTTACTCATGATTAAACTGTTATCATTTAATTGAAGGAGAAAAAAAGATAAATAATAAATAAATAAGTGTTTCATCTTTAAAGAGGAATATTTGATTAGGTGTATGTTTTTGCAGGCCAGGTATGTGCTGAATGCCAGGCAGATGAAAAGATGGGTAAACGAGAGGCGACAGCGGTGTGTGCTGATTGGACACACCTCCTTTGACCTTCTCTAGCTCTGTTTTGAATTCCAAACTATTTTAGGAAGCCACAGTCAATTTTTGCCAAGGGCATTTTCTCTCTCTTAATTCATTTCTTTGAGTTGATATATTTTATTCATGACATGTGGACATTACATATAGTCAAGATAATAAAATTTGACAGTTAGCTTCCTGTAAAACTTCACGTTGCACCAAGATTGATGAAAGACGTAGAAGATTTATGGACAGTTGGGCGATCAACTGGGAGCTGGATGGTTATAGAGATGGATGGTTCGATGGATGAATAGATGGGCTTGATGATGGCAGTCTGCCACATATCCAGGCACTGTTTTCACAACAAGAGCCTCACCATGGCTTCCCTTTTGTCCAGCCTCTGTTTATTTTGCCACCTGCTAGTCTGGGCGGAATGGGGTCAGTTCAACAGGAGCAGGGCACTGTCACTCTCTCTCTCGCTAGTTCTCTCTGTCTCTCTGTCTCACGCACACACGCACGCACGCACGCACGCACGCACGCACGCACGCACGCACACACACACACACACACATGGTGAGTTAGATGACACACAAAAAGGCCATAGGTCACTGGGTCAGCGAGTGTATTGCAGTGAGTGTGCGCCTGATTGATTGCACAGCTATTCTGTGTACATTTGTAGAGTTGCAGAGTGAATTAGGTAGAATACCGTGGTCAGACGGAATGTTTAAGGTTCAGTAGCTTGATCTCTCGTTCTGAGGCCGGTTAAGACTACTCGATTAAAACTGCACGCCAAAACACTGCGTTGACATTATTATGGCAGGCAGGACAATTGGATTGGGTTCATAATGTGTTTCGGGAGGAACCCTGCAAACAAAGCCTGTCAAGCATCCTAACATTTTTAGTTTTTCTCCAGCCATTCAAAGCATGCCTGTGTTTTTATATTCTTTTCAAGTAGAGGTGACATAAATAAATCATTAGTTCGCCATGTCGCAAGTAAAATGTGAGAAGTATGTGTCAGGAGAGTAAAGAAAAAGGCACTTTACTTACCATTTAAAAGCCAAGATGATAAACATTTCCAGCACTAAAAGATCTCTTTTTTTCTTGGATTTATTCTCTTTCTTACTTGACTTCCATTATCTTAATCAGTTCCAAAAATATTTCCTGTTAGACTTGAATTGAATGAACAATAAACTTTTGAGAAAACACACAGTACACTGGACAAATAATATATCAAAAACAAACCCAGGAAGAAATCAAATGCTGGCAGTGATATGACAATGTCAGCAAGAAGTGCTGCAATGTAGTCTGTTTTCAGTAAATTATATTTTGAAGTAAGGCTCTAACCATGAGTGATCTCATTTTAGTTGCGCACACAGTTTAGATTTTGTTGAAATCAATTAAAAACAAATCCCAGTTTTTAAAAATCCCCCCACCAGTAATTTCACGGTGTTCTGTCTTCCAATTAAATAAGACCTTTTCTCTCCTTAACATCTGTAAACTCTTAGAGTGCACATCTGCCTAATGTTAGGATAGAGTTTGGGTTCGAAGAATGAGTGAGGTTGTGGTGGGTGGATCTTGAGGTGATATGTGTGATACAGTAGAAAGGATTTCTGGAAACAGCTGCTTTAGCTACACTGAGGCTTTGACAAAGCTTGGCAGTGTGGACTCAAATACCATTGTAGAGGTGATTTGTGTGTACACTTTGTAAAATACAGTTCAAATCTGTCAAATATGTTTTGTCTTAACTCTTATTATATAGTTTATCTAGAAGAATTTTCTTGTAACCCTTTCTACTTATTGTGATCGACTTTTTTGTGTGTTTTGCAGTCAGGGTTGATCCGTGTGTCTCAGGAGGAGTATTTGATCGCCCCTCTACCCCAACATCTGGCCAGACAACACAACTACAGTGCCCCCAATGGTCATCACCCGCATGTACTGTACAAGCGCTCAGCAGAGCACATTGTCCACAGAAGATCCAGAAGCCCCTCTGACGTCAGTTCTTCTAGACCTGGCAACCCTTACCTTCATGATTATCATCAACAGCAGCAGCATCATGACAACCAGCATGGAAAGCTGCAGAGGCAACACTTCTGTGGACGCCGCAAGCAATGTATGTAAGGGAACCTTTAATTCCTTTCCTTTATTATATGTATATATCTATCTCTCTATCTAGAGATAGAGATAGAGAGATATGGTGTGTAACATCTGGTAGACAATCATTTCTATCCTTTACATCTATTCAGCTATTCAACGTTTTCATAACACAAGTTTCATCTTACCATTAAACTGCGTGGCTTCCATATGTACAGAATATTTATGTGCTGCATGTTAAATAGGACACTTTTACAGTCTTAACTTCTTAAACATTACTGCTGTTGTATTTAAAATGTACAGTTCAAGGTGAAGGAAATATCCATTCTTTCTGCCAGCCACATACTGTCCAGTTTTGAAACTAAACAGTTAAATACAAGATGTGAACTGTCATGTAAAGAACCTGTGTCTTAATCTCCTGTTATTTATTCTGAGCTTTCATGTTACTACACACTAACTCATTGGCTCAACTAACTGATTATGTTTTATTACTATCATCTTTAATTAAACATTATGTTTGATTCTGTTCAGAGTTTACTCTGGCAGGATAAAGAAGGCTCTGATAAAACAAGTGAAACCAACATGGAATGCTAAATAATAATCTAATATAGTACCTCATTTTGAAACAAAAAACATCACCATAGAGGTTTATAACACTTTATAATAACAGGTTTTAACGTATGTGTATGTGCTGTGGGTTCAGAAAGTCTGATTCTGATATTTCTGATTCTGCTCTATTTTAAAGTCAGTAATCAAAAAGAAAAGATCAGAATTCCTGAAGTTGTATCTTTCCGCTGAAGCAGCATTTACTAAGGTGAATTTGATCTGCTCAGCAAAGGCTTGTAAGTAAATCAACCTGCAGCCGTCATTCACCTGCTATACTGAATGCTTTTTAAGTAACATTGTGAGACTGGACAACACGGCACCAGATCCATGTGAAATTGTCACAAGTCAAATTATTCCAAGCAAGGAGGTTCTTTTCCAGTGTCAAATTGTGTCTAGACTGAAGGTTTCTGAGGGGGAAGCGCATTACACTCTAAAATGCTGCGTGGAAACTGGATCAGTTGTATCTAAAACACAATCAGGCAGACCAAATGTGACTACATTAATACATCAAACATTGTTCACTGGGAGATAGAAAAGCTAAATCTAATAATAGTTGCAGAATTCGCTAAATAAAGAAAGCAAGACTGCAGTCAGCAAAAGTATTGTTCTAAGAAAAGCTGTGTAGTCGTAGTCTCAAATGATTAAAAGGGTCTCTAAAGTGCATGTCAGGATGGGAAATAAGGCCAAAGACTTGAAGTGGGCTAGAACTTTGCAGCTTTCACAATGAATGATTATAGAAGATTTAATTTTCTAATAAAGTCTGAGATTTGTGGATAAAAAAGAAATAAAGATAAAAATAAAGAAGAAATGATACTACAGTATCGACTCCACCATGAAACACAGTCTGGCAGTATATTGGCAGTATATTGTGACAAAGTTGCTGTACACCCATCATTATTCTGCTCCATAATGTAGCAGAATAATGACTTTGTTCAGACCCCAAAGCCTAAAAAAAGCCTGTGTGCATGTTATCCTAAAAGTAAGATGAAATCATACCACATCTGTAATTCAGTTTTCCAGGGATTCAGCTTTTCATTCAAATTGTTATGCTGCATTCACTGGTGTATTCAGACTTTTTGATCTTACTGTACATATATTATGATGATTTATGTCTGTATTAAATATTTGAGAACACTCAATTTCAGTGCATTATATGTTTATCAGCATGCATTTCAAGTTGTTGTGTCCAGCTAAAAGTGCAACACTAGCCTGAAGCTACTGAACCCTTAGGCTTTTTAACAATTGTTTTTTTAGTGATGATAGGAAGCAGCATGGGGAGTGAATTTCCTGTCCTTTCAACACCAGAGCACGCACTTTTAACACCTGGCACGAGCCAGGACAAAGAGTTGATTCATTTGACCCTCACTGCCAAGTTTTCTATCTCTGAGTATCATTGTCTGTCTCCTTCATGCTGTCTCCCTCTTTCTGTGTCTCTCCTCCCTTCCTTTTTGCCTCTCCCTTTTTGCCCTCCTAGACGCACCCAAGCCTCCTGCTGAGGACCGCTTTATCATGCCTGATGAGTTTGCGGTACCTGAGGTGGAAGGTCCAGGGAGGGAAAAAAGATCACCCATTTCCAACAGGGTGGGAGGTCTGAATGTGGAGACCCTGGTTGTGGCAGACAGGAAGATGCTGGAGAAACATGGCAGGGAGAATGTCACCACCTACGTCCTCACCGTTATGAATATGGTAGGGCTGAAAAAGACAAGGGAGTGGAAGTGTTGGAAAGACAAGGTGTGACAGAACATATGAGGTAGCAATCGTTCAATTACACATAGGAAATCTGTCGAAATTTTGTGTTTCTCAAAGCTCTTGTTCATTTACCTAACATAGCAGGATCTCAGCAGATCAGTATTTCCTGCGAGGCAAGACACAAGTGCTAAGCTAACTTTATAAGCATTCAAATTTGCAACGTTTCTCCAGAGAAAAGTGCAAAAACGTTGCTAACCCTTTATGTTTGTGATATTTGTTTGATTGCAACTTTGAATGCAACTTTTTGCCACTTTCCTCTGTTTAAAAAATAAACAAGTTAATTTTAAGTGTGAACTAGGATATGTCAAAATAAATGAAGGAGGACTACTTCCAAATTCTTTAAATTCACATCAGATCATCAGATCATCACCTGGACGGCTGAAACTTGGAGACAGTTGGGTGTTTCAACAGAAGAATGATCCCAAACACACATCAGAAATGGTTTTAGATTGGATAATGAAAGTTAAGATTAAGCTTCTGGAATGCCGTCACAAATTACCATGACACTCATACCAATGGTGACTGAATGTGAACGTCTGACTACAACTCTTAGTGGACACAAATCCTCACTCAATCATTTTATGTTTCTCCCCAAAGAAGAATGGTTTCAACGCATGCCTATGTAATGACACTATCAGTGGTTCAGGTCCACCTTTAGAGACTTTGTTGCACACATACATAATCCTTTTATCCCTATATTTTCTGCAAAAATGTTACCAATAAGTATTTTCAACTAATCTACAGGTTTCCAGCCTTTTCAAAGATGGCACCATTGGGAATGATATCAACATTGTGGTGGTTAGCTTGTTGCTGCTGGAGCAGGACCCTGTAAGTAGATTTACACTAACTCCTTGCCTGACTGTGCTGCTTTTAACTTGACACTGATTAAAATACCCATGGCTGTGTTCTAAATCTCAATTGTTCTCTCTACAATTCCAGTTGGGCTTGACCATAAATCATCACGCTGACCAGTCCCTCAACAGTTTCTGTCAATGGCAGTCAGGCCTTGTGGGGAAAGGTGGTAAACGGCACGATCATGCTGTTCTCCTCACTGGACTGGACATTTGTTCCTGGAAGAACGAGCCCTGTGACACTCTGGGTGAGATAGGGCTTAGCTCACTTTAACAAGCCAAAGATCTTTTTTTTCTTTTTTTAAAGACGCATGTGAAAAGCAACAGTGTGACTTTGTCTGGACCACTGACAACTAAGAACCCCTTGCATTGCTAAATGTTGTCACATTTTGGTTAACAACAGCCTAGATGCGATGCTGTGGGTGCAAACATTATAACAGGGCTGACAGGTGAAGCGAAAATAGTTGTCAAGAGATAGACTGGCAGTCATTTGTCACTATGAGCAAACCCTATATTTTACTAGAGTATTAAGCCGTGCCATAAAAAACTAGTGACAGTATGAATGCAGACACATGCAGAAGGAGAAGGGGGTTGATATGCAAGAAAGTCAACAGATTGAAGTATAAGCACCAACTTGAGCTGTCACTTCAGGCAAAAACAGCTCATTAAAAATATCCTGCCAAAGCTGTCTGTAACAAAAAAAGGTAGGGTCTAACCAAAAATATTTTAACTAAATGAAAAACAAAGCTGAACCATTAATGTTAATGTTTAAAATCTGTCTCTTTTATTCTAATGGCTCAGTCATCCTGGACTAACAATAGGACAGCAACTTCCTTACAATTAGTTACAAATAGTTATGACCACCAACTGGTCACCCAGAGGTTGAGCATACTCACCTTCAACCTCAATATTTGTCCTAAATTTATGTTCCAAATCTTCAAGGTTCTCGCTGGACTCTCCTTTATTATAAGGGGTCAACATAGCAGGTAGCTTGATTCCCTTCCTGGCACAATACCAAAGGGAATTTCTGTTTAATGGGAAATTAAACAGAAATTCCCCATTTTTGAAGCAACCATTTTAAAGGCAGCTGCTCACAGTTGTAATAATTTGCATGTATCCAACCAATGTTCTCTAAACTGAGACTAACAAGCTATGTTTGACAACTAAATATTGACGTTGGTTATTATATTTTTGGGCCCATTGGAAGAAATTGCTTCCTGAAAATTAGAAACCCCAAGTAAAGATTCCTCATCAGCTTATCAGTTACAGAAAAATCTCACATCTGGGTAGTTAGTCACTGTGCTGGTGCTATCTGCTACACAGTTAACAGTAGTCCTCTGTGTTGATTGCTAACAAAGTCTAAGAACTAATTTAAACTAAACTGGGCAGGACATCTGAGGTTACATTTGGCAGTTCTGTGAGATTCCCCTTCCAGGCAAGCACGTGTGTGAAGATACATGTGTGGCACATATTTGTTGTCTTTACAAACTGTCAGAACAGATTGTGCGCTCAGTGTAAGAGAACAAGAATATGATACAGATTTGGGGTTTTATCTTGCTTGTTTTTGAATTTTCAAGTAGCCCAGATTTTCAAATAACTTTTCTCTCCTTGTTGTATCTGCAGGTTTTGCCCCCATCAGTGGCATGTGCAGTAAGTACAGGAGTTGTACGATCAATGAGGATACAGGACTTGGCTTGGCTTTCACCATTGCACATGAGTCTGGACATAAGTATGTTTAGAAGAAAGAGCAGCAGACTGTCTCAGAATGTAATGTCATTTTGGAAGGGGCAGCCTAATTGCCTTTATGCTGTCTGTGGATGTAGTTTGTGTTGAAGTGACAGATGTGGTCTGATTTAAACAAACACACTCTGAAATAAGAGCATTACGTTAGACCCCTACTTCATCCACTCCATGACATTTTATGGGAGAATAATGGAAACTACCCAAGGCAGTGCAGCTCTGTGTTTATATTTATATGTTACCGGTGGGACTGGAGGCAGTTTATTTTTGATATGTGTAGATGTCATGTTGCGGTAAAACTCTTCTGTGTGCCTCATATGTTCTTAAAACAAACTATGAATTAAATGTATTCACCTGGGTAATAATATGTCAAAATATCCATACACATAAGTATCCTAAAGCTATTAATCACTGACAATTTGAAAACGGCATAAGTGTCAAACATATGACATGGTAATGAATCAAAGAAGGGAGAAAATGTTGCAATGTATGAAGCAAACTGTTACAACAAATTGAATGACATCAGCAGGGTCTTTACATAGAAATCTATCAGAATGAGTGAAATCAAGCCAATTTAAAGAATTCATGTTCATTTTCTTTAAAATCCTGTAACATTTTATAATTTGTCTCAGTATCAAAATGTGAATTATCATTATCATAAACTTCCCCTTTACTCACAAACAGCTTACAATACATGCAAGTCCATGTATTTACCGTATATCTCATTGCGACTGAAGTCTCTTATCTTCATTTTCTGTAGTTTTGGTATGATCCATGATGGGGAGGGAAACCCTTGCCGTAAGACTGAGGGTAACATTATGTCCCCTACTCTCGCTGGTAACAATGGAGTCTTTTCCTGGTCCACCTGCAGTCGGCAGTACCTTAGCCGCTTTCTTGGGTAAGCCCAGTTAATGCAGATTGTTAAAATTACCAGTCATGCATTTGGCTTTCCTCCTTACTGACACAGGTACTGTTCTGTGTTCACCAGAACAGCCCAGGCATCCTGTTTAGTGGATGAACCCAAGCAGATCGGTCAGTACAAGTATCCCGAAGAGCTTCCCGGGCAGCTTTATGGAGCAGACACACAGTGCAAATGGCAGTTTGGCTCCAAAGCCAAACTATGCAGTCTTGATTTCGTCAAGGTAAAGTAATCACCTAATTTGTCAGAATTATTCGATCTCCATTTCCTTTTTTTCCCCCAACATGTTGCAACTGCAAAAACAGTTGTAACATGCGGTGCACACGATGCTGAGTTACTGGGGGAATTAAAAAACAACAACATATTTTTTCTGGCTTTAACGATTGTGATTTATTATATCTTTCATTTGATAACAGCCCAGACCAGGAAACAAACAACAGTTCCTTACACTAAAGAAAGAAGTGTTAACCATGGTTGTATTTCTACATGGACCAACAGTCCTTAATCATTTACTTTTCACATGTTTCTTTGCCAACACTGAGAATCGCTACAGTTCCTTGTAGTGAGAAGGGGGCACCCCTGGACCATATAGGAGCTGGAATTTATCTGCTTTACAGACTTAATGATCCAGTGCTAAACTGGCACTTTATTAACTAGCACAATCTTTACATCAGCAACCTTAACCCCCCCCACACACACACATTTGACCTTCATTAAAATGCATTCCATCATTTGAATGGGTCCCTATACCACCACCCCAGTCTGCATCAAACCCTTGTTGTTTTGGTATAAGGCTTTATGCTAGGTGCATTCAGTGATGTTGATTCACATGTAAATTTTATTTAAAATGCCTCAAGCTTTTCTTCTTGCATGGCTGTAATTGCTGGGAAATTGACTTTGCCAAGTCGTATATATGGCATTAGCCCACATGACGACGCCTTGGCTGTTCACGACTTCCCCAGATTCCTCCTATGTTTCCATAATAAAAGATCAAATACTATATTTGCATTTCTTAGACCTGTGTAGGAGTTGGCAGGTGGTATATTAACCTGCATGCTGATTAACAGTGGATTTGAGGGTTCCATTCACACTTTTCACTCTTTTTTCTTGACCCTGACATTATCATGTACAAGGACTTTCAGCATGATGCCATAGCGGTCACCCACCTGCTCTATGTCAGTGAAGTAGATCTGCATAAGGTTAAGTCTTGAACACACCAGGGAGCTGTCTGTCCTGCTTCCTCACTCCCTCCTTTCTGATTCCATTCTCGTTGCCAGTTGCAGTTGGGCCAGTTGCCAGATTCTGCCGCCTGTCTCTCGACCCCAGCTCTCCCTCTGTGCTCACTCACTTGCTCTGTCTCTGTATTGTTGGGTCAGATGACACATACAATTATAGCCGGTTTCATTAAAGAAGTTCAATGATTAGTCTCGACACAGAAGCACTGTGGAGAAGTCTGTCAGAGGCAGTGGGGGCTTATCAAGCAAAGTGATGGTGGTCCTGGCAAAAATCAGGTAGAGGGAAGAGAAAAAGGAAAGGAACTCTTAACCAAAAGATGCCACGGATAATAACATCAGCAAACACCATGTTTGATGGATGTCTCATTCTTTGCGTGTCTCATTCGACAGGACATTTGCAAGTCATTGTGGTGTCATCGCACAGGGCATCGGTGTGAGACCAAGTTCATGCCTGCTGCAGAAGGTACCACTTGTGGCCCTGACATGGTGAGGAATGGTCTCCTTATTTATATGAAAGATCACAGCAGTCAGAATGTTATTCTCCTGCTTAGCATCCTAATAATTAGCATTTTATTGAGTCAAACGAAATCCTTTCATCTTAGAAAAAAAATCCTAAAAGAGCTTTAAAAAGATGCAAGGATTTACTTTAAGCTCAAACTGATGACAGCTCAAACTGCATTTTTTTATTTTATTTGAATACTTCTTTGATCATAGATAATTAAATAAATCAGACAAAGTAACCATCGATGCTCCTCGTACATGCATGGGTGCACATTTTGGACACTACTCTCCCAAATGGATTGAGTTGATTTGTACACACAGAAACATGATATTTAGAAAGAGTGAAAGGCGGTGATGTGTGTGAGTGCAGGGTTTGGCTTGGATCAACCCAGGTCTGCTGCACAATAGATGTGCATGTGTATGTGTGCATTTTGGCTGTAGATAGAGAGTCTCTATGTCCAGGTGTGGTGCTGGGCATTTCTCCAGACCAGGAAACAGAGGCGAGATGCCAGGGCCAACACTCAAGTACTGATAAGAATGCTATTTCTGTTGTCGTCTTCTCTTTCATTTCCTTCCTACTCTTTTCTTCAGTGGTGTCGGAGGGGTCAGTGTGTTAAGTATGGAGAGCATGGTCCTAGAGCAGTGCACGGCCAGTGGTCAGCCTGGTCTCAGTGGTCTGACTGCTCCAGAACTTGCGGTGGAGGTGTCATGTACAGAGAGCGCTCCTGCACCAGCCCAAGGTATACATACACTTGCACACACTTGCAAAACCTAATCTAATTCATCACCTCTATTTTAATGCTTTCGATAAGATTAACTAGGCAAACAGTCGACAAAATGATTCATGTTGTCACGCAGCTGCTTCCACAGTGCAAATCTGAGGTGCAGTTTGGGCCAGAAAGTAATTCTTGAAGGCCTTGTATTCTACGTTTTTTTTGAACACCTGAAAGTGCTGGCTGCCAGGTAGCTGTCAGCACAGTTATGTACGCACATTCTGTTCGTGCACACACACACACATGTGCTGATAACTGCTCTCATCAGTCAGGCTGACAGTCCAGACGGACAGACTATCTCTCCACATGCTCCAGACAAGGAACACCTCCTGATGGCATGCTCTTTTCTCTGAAAGCTGCCAAGATAGTCAGCAAACGTCCCCCATTGCTGCTCACTCAGACAAATATAATTCTACATAATTCTGTAGACCCAGATCCCACAGTGCATATCTCTTTGTTAGCAAAGCACTCTGTTCATGTCATTACAAGCTTGACAATTTTCCAGTGTTAATGTTGTATTTCACCACAAACACGCAATCTCTCATTAATTATCCCTCGAACACGTAAAGACTTACTAGATCTTTTAAACCTTTATTTCGCTTCCATAAAATACAGATTTACTGCCGTTGTTCTATTACTATGCTACAATCAAGCAATGTGGCAAGTGATTGACTCAGCCTGCAGACGGTTAAACACCTGCCCCCACGCTGGTTCTGTAGCATGGTTACAATGGGATACTTGCGAAGGTGATTAATTTTGTGATTATTCATTTAATCTTCTTTTCATCCTTTACAGTGTCATGTGTTTACTCCATAAATCAGAAGTGATCCCATGGTGACCATTCTTTAGCAAGTTTATCTTATGTTTAAAGAGGTTTTGCTGTTTGCTTCACACACCTCAGAGAATGGTTGACTCAATTAAAATAATAATAATAATCATCTTCATCTATTGGAGCCACAGCCAATTAGCCGACAGATTCTTAGATAACGCCTTCAGTATTTTATTTCTATTTTTTTCAAGCCATTGACTGAATCTCAAGTTTTCCTAATACTACATAAAAAGAGGAAGAACTGACAACAAAAAGAAGCAGCTTTGCAACATAGAACTGATAAGCATGCATGAGTTTCTGAGTGTTTAAGTGCAGGGAAATGTTTTTGTCATGACAGGGACACAGTTGCCCTTTTAAATACAGCTGCCTTCATATGTCTTGTAGCCATGCGAAGTGTATATGTGTGACTTGAATGTCTAAATGACTTCATAATGTCGGCTTTTTTTCTCTTGTAGCTATTCACACGATTGCCACGGTTGTCAGCCGAATGCATAAGAGCCTGGACTGAGTCACTGTCAGCCCAATTAACAGGCTGACCTGAAAAATCCAATAAAGTTTAATTTAGTCATAGACATTGACTTAATTCATGTTACAACAGCACAACACATATATATATATATATATATATATATATATATATATATATATATATATATATATATATATATATATATATATATATATATATATATTAGGGGTGCAACGATATTCGTATCGATATTGAACCGTTCGATACAGTGCTTTCGGTTCGGTACGCATATGTATCGAACAATACAATTTTTTTTCAAAATTTTTTTTTTTCAATTTTATTTTATTTATTTATTTTTTTGTGTCCCGTTTGGATCTATAGCCATCAGAATTGTTGTCTTGAGGCCAAGAAAGATGCCAAGAGGATTTATTTTAAGTGGATCATCATATTGGTCCATTTGATTGACCTTTATTATAATTATGAATTTATTTTATTTTCAGTTGCAAACGGGACAGACATGACTGTGGGATAGGACAGGGGGAAAGAATGAAAGAAAGAGGGGGAGAGAAAGAAAGAAAACCAAAGGGGAGAAAAAAAAAGAACAATACAAAATTTGTAATTTATTTTATCAACTTTCCTTCTGACGATGCTGTCTGTGTTGAGCGCTCAGTGAATCTGCATTTGACTACTCCGCCTAGGCTCGAGAGTGCAGCCTAGGCGGAGTAGTCGAACGCAGATTCACTGAGCACTCAACACAGACAGCATGGTCAGAAGGAAGAGCGCAGGGCAAGCTAGCGAGACAGAAGTGGACCTCCCCACCCTCATTCAGATCTGGCGTTTGGAATTATTTTGGTTTTCATGTGACGTATGACCCTGAAGGTAAGCGAGTCATGGACTAAAGTAAAACAGTATGTTGGATGTGCCATGCAATGCTCAATTACATGGGTGGGAGCTAGTGTGTTAGCGCAGTTAGCTCGTTAACCTGTTGGCCGTCTAGCCCCTCTGTATAGGGTAGCTCGTTAACGGAGATTTGCCGTGTTGTGGCGTTAAGGTCCTTTCAACGAGATTAACCTGAAAGCACTAGTGGGAACACAACGAATATGACTGCACATTTACGCCGACATCATCCTAGTGCAAAGACAAAAACAAGCATGCATGCTACAAACTTT